TCTGAGCCTATTTATACTTCCAGCCTTCCTTGTTTTGAGTGTACAGAAATTACTCTTTGGAAGTCGACATTTTTGTGCCTGTCCCTTTTATGTGTCATCCCTGGGCCTGCTTCCCTTTCTCTCTGGCATGCTCTTTGCAGCCACTGAGCTGAAAGCTTCTCCCCTGGACCACCCTAGCAGCCTCAGCTGTGGGTGTCCTTCCCTCTGGTTTGGTTTCTTCTTTCTCCGTGTGCTGCCAAGAACCCCTCCAGCAGCCAAGGCAGCCCTTGTTCCTGCATGTATTACCTGGGGCAACAGTGAAGAGTAAATAAGTCTGATCCATTCTATTTCTCTGGATCCCTGTAAGTTCCTAGAGCAGAGCTCTGTGGAAAGAGGCTGAGGATAGAGAAACTGATTTGGCTATCTCTTTAAAGGTAGCAGATTCTTACAGTCTCACTCACGCCCTAAAATGAATCTAGGGTGAGATTTTTAAGCTGCCACCTTCCTCTTAAACACATGTACTGTCTTCTTGTTAGTATCTCGTCCTAGTCCAATAAAATTAGCTAACAAAATATACTTTTGTAGGTCTTGCGTTCAGTCTTCCTGTAGGTAGAGATTTGAAATATAGGCTGAGTAGTAATTGTAAAATTATGCTCCCGTTCATTGAGTTCACACCTTCCTACCAAGCTTTTTTCCTTCAATTTTCAGGAAAATTATCAGTGACATCACTTATTAACCAACCCAGCATTTTTTATTAAATATGGTACCCATAAATACTCTCTTGGGTTTTGTATGAAATTCAAACAGAAAGTTATTCTCAATGACTTTTTTTTTTTTTTTGCTGCTCCCCAAAAAAGGGAGGAGACAAAGAGTCTCCCATCTTATGTGACCAAAGGACAGGCACCTCCCAGCCTGGACAGGTGGCTCAGCTCCAGCCCATCACGCTTCCAGGTTTCCCTGTCAGGTGGGGAGCTGGGGCCTGTGCAAAGCTGGAAGGAAGGTGCCTTCAGAGACCTCAGCTTCCTTTTGGTGCTTCAAAGTTGCCTAAGCTCTGACTTCTCAACATTTAGGAAAACTGACCCTCAGAAATAAAGATGAGCTGTTTTAGAGCTGGAGATAGAGCGTATTTCGTGGAAGCATGTGCTCTTATTGGAATGGCTTCTTTTTTGCTCACTCCAGAGGACTGAATACACATACCACTTACCTGGGTAAGAAAAAAAAAGTAAAAAAGGCTGTGAGCACAGTGATCTCTTATCCTCCCTGGGAGCCACCGGTTTTTCCAATCTGTAATGCACCCAGAGGATCTGATGAAGTGGACATATTAGCTAATTATATGGAATAAAATAATTTAGCTTTCTTTAACACAAGCAGAATTTTAACCAGGTACACATTGAAATTGTTCCCTTATGTTCCAAGCTAATTTCACTTTAGTTTGCTGGCCCATCTTAATCTAAAAGATAAGAGTCCCTTGATCTAAAAGCCCAGTTCTGGTACTGGAGGGTTCCAGTAAGGACCTGCACTTGTAGTGCCAAATGGCCTGATTAAACACCGATAAATGTTTCTTCCAAAATGCAATAAGCACAAATAGTTAAGTGCACAGCCTTTGGGGAATTCTGCTGTTTGAAAACCTATGCGCAGCACTTTACAAGGCTACTGAGCTTGGGGAAGATATGTCTGTATCTTGGCAAGAGTGCCTTGGGTTTTCCTTTTTGTTGGCTACCTCATTTTCATTTAATGTATTTTCTTTTTTCTTCCCTCCCACCCCTACCCCCAATCCCTGTAGAAAGGACAGATTCCTCTAAATTTTGATATTTCACAGCAAATCCTTATTGCCTTTCATGTGTGGAAAGGTTGATTTGTAGCTGCTATCTTTCTCTTCCTAATAGACCTTGTGGGTGGTAAAGATCTCGGGGAGTGAAACATTAAAAATGAATGAGGAGAACTGGAGTAGTTTGTCTGAGGTGGGGGTTGAGAGGGACTGAGGTGGGGGAGGTTTAACAAAAGGCATTGATGTTTTAAATGCACAGAAATGCCATCCATCAATAATAAATGCTGTGGCATAGAACAGATGTGCCAAATTGAGTTATTACAGCAGATAGGTCAGTTCATAGAGAGGGAAAGTAAGCAGCATAGATGGTGTTTTTAAATTATCTGTTTGAGAGCTGTAGAATACAGTTTTGCATACCCTATTTCTATGCTTTGATAGGTGCTAGTTGGAAATATGAAACGTTGGGAATTTCCAAAAATTCTGATGAAATTTGGAATGGTTTTAAACATAAGAATTATTAAGAATGAATAAATTTTGTTTTCTGAAGAGGGAGACAATCTGAAAATGAATTTCTCGCCCTTCATGGCTGAGTGCTTGCTATTTAAGAGCTTGTGTTGTAATTGTATGAGGAGTGAAATTACATTACAAAACTTAAGTCATGTGAAACTGTTACCTAGAGTGTTCTACATTTACATTGATGATATCTCTGGGTACTACTTAAACTACAGAGGAGCACTCAGGAAACCCCTTGCATGCTTGTAGATCGACTCATCACCCTCAGCACTCTATTCAAGGGCTAATTCTATACATAGGTTTTGGGAGAATTATTTCACCCAAAAGAGAAACAATAAGAAATGCCAGCTTCCTTGCCTCATAGAGAAAATCACTCCCAGGTAATTGGACAGACAAAAATCTGTTAGGTAAAATGGAATATTTTGTAAGTGTAGATACTCAGGTAGACGTCAAGCTTTGAGTTGTACTTGATCTTCTCAAGATGTGGGAGTTCCTGTTAGTGTCACAGGCATAGCAAAGGACGTAATGTGTGAGGGTTTGAAATGAGTCCTGGGTTGGAATGGGTGTGCTTAATGAAAACAACAGACTTGGTAAGATGTGGAATAATTCCAGTCCTCTTAATGTTGCCCCTTATTGGCTTTTTTGGAAACTAGTTTGGAATTGGATCTCTGCTTTGTTATCCCAACAAAACTAATTCCTCTTTGCTTTTCCTAAAAAGAACAAAAAAGTACTTAATTCTTGCAAATAATGCCAAGTAGGTTTAAATGTGAGGTTTGTGAGACTAGAAAGACAAATTACTTAGCTGCTGTTGAAGAGTTCATTGAATATTGGAGTGTGAATGTTCTAGTTGAAAATGAGGACAGTGATTATGAAGAGTCTATTACCAACTCTTATTTATCCATCCGTATTAACTTTCATCTATTTCAGGTACAGAATTTAGTTGAATTAATCTTTTCACCTCCAAGGGATCCTAGCTTGCCTTTAAAAAAAACAAACAAACAAAAAAAAAAACCACTGTCAAACTGCCTTTAGAGCCACCAAATAAATCTATTTTATAGTCCCATTAGATATCTAGCTCAAAATCCCATTCACTCTTAAAGAACCTATGGTTGGATGCACAACAAATTTCCTGAAATCATCTCTGGTCCACCTCCTTTGGGTTGTTAAGAAGGTGTTGAAATGTGAGAAGGCTGGTAGTGAAATTAAATTGTGGCTCAAGGTAATTAGGAAGAGAGAAATCCAAGCATTTTCCTAGTACATTGTCTGGCTTTTAGCTGCAGCTGCAAACAACGGATATGAATTGAACCAATTGCTACAGTGCAGCTGGTTCAGATCTGGCTTTATAACTGGCTGAAGTAAAATGAAATGGCTGGAAAATTCCAGTCAAGTAACACCAGTGGGAACATGTGGAATTAAATAGTGTGAGCAAACGCTGGCCGAGTTGAGAAAAAAAAACTTCAGACATAAACTTGAGGGTGGTGGTGAGGACTTGTAGAGAGAGGGGCAGGGAGGGGGCCAGGGCATTTTCTGGCCTTTTTCACAAGGGCCTATTGTTTTGATTAGTCCCCTTGCAGGAGGTGGAAGGTTTCCTCCATCCAGAGTAATTTGTAGAGTGTTTGGCCTGTCTACCTTCCTCCTTGACTGAAGTCACCTGATACTTTATTTTTTTCTTCTTCAAGAAGAAAGAAAAATAAGCTGTTACCTCAGTTACTGACAACACAAATCTCAAACTGGAGGCTTTTTTTTCCCCTTCGGGACAGTTTTTCCACCTCGTGTGACCCAGAAGGCCCTGTCTCCATAGACCTCTTACTCCCACCACCCATAACAGAGATGCTGAGTGTATGTTGGGAGGTAGAGGAGCTCAAAGCTTCCGTTTTTTAATAATTGTTCTAATTTAGGAAAGAAAGTGGGTTCACTAAAGGAAAGCTGGTACATTATCAGTAGTTTTTTCTCCATGAATTGTCTGCTTAATTTGGAGACTTGAGAGTTGGCTGGAGGAAAAAATGTCTGAGAAGTTAAAGGGCCATGTGCTGTTTGGGGAAAACATTTGCTGTAACTAGGTTTAGGGTATTTATTCTCTGCCAGTGTTGGGAGCTGCATTTGCCAAGGGATTTCCCTGTCACAGGGATTAGCCAGTCATGTGAAACATTTGATGAAGAGACTTAGGGAGAAATCTTTCTGGAGGCCTGTGATGGGAAGCTGCTGCTGGGATGCCCCCAACCCCCCCCCCCGCCCCCCAATTTTCTGCTTTCTCCCTCAGTGTTTGTAAGTAAGTTTGTAGCGATTAGTCAAGGGATATGGTTTTACAGTCCAATGAAGAAACTTTTTAGGAATCTAAGTGCTGGTAGGTATATTTTTAATTAAGCCCCTTCAAGTTTCTGAAAAACTGAGAATCTTTTGTTTTTTTCCTCAGAGCTATACCACTGCTCATCTGTTTTTGGAAAATAATCAGTAAAAATTACCTATGTCCCAACACTGTTCTGTTTTAGCAAAGTGAAGAAAATTTTTTCTTGATGCACATTCCCTGGATTTCTGTTGAATTTTCGTTCTAAATACATAGGACTCTTTAGTTTTCCCTTGCAGCTGCAGCAGCAGCAGCACCCATTGGAGACAGGAGCAAAGGGCTGGATTTCTTTCTAGCCACCCAACTCCGCAATGAGGGGGAGCTCTTGCTACAGAGGGACATGCCACCCTGTTTCCCTCCCATTCTGTTAAACTTTCATGTATTTTCTTCCCACAGATCACGATCATCTTCAAAGCCCACCGCGAGTGTACAGATCAGAAAGTGTACCAAGCTGTGACAGATGACTTGCCAGCTGCCTTTGTGGATGGCAGCACCAGCGGTGGGGACGGCGACGCCAAGAGCCTACGCATCGTGGAAAGGGAGAGCGGCCGCTACGTGGAGATGCACGCCCGCTACATAGGAACCACGGTGTTTGTGCGGCAACTGGGCCGCTACCTGACCCTCGCCATCCGCATGCCCGAAGACCTGGCCATGTCCTACGAGGAGAGCCAGGACCTGCAGCTGTGTGTGAACGGCTGCCCCCTGAGCGAGCGCATCGATGATGGGCAGGGCCAGGTGTCGGCCATCCTCGGGCATGCCCTGCCCCGCACCTCCCTGGCACAGGCCTGGCCTGGCTACACACTGGAGACTGCCAATGCTCACTGCCACGAGAAGATGCCAGTGAAGGACATCTATTTCCAGTCCTGCGTCTTTGACCTGCTCACCACTGGTGATGCCAACTTCACCGTTGCCGCCCACAGCGCCTTGGAGGACGTGGAGGCGCTGCACCCCAGGAAGGAGCGCTGGCACATTTTCCCAAGCAGCGGTCATGGGGATCCCCTCGGCGGCTGCTCTCTGTCTGTCGGTCTAGGACTCACATGCTTGATCCTTAGTGTGTTTTTGTAGGGGTTGTCTTTTGTTCTGTTTATTTTTTGTCTATAACAAAATTTTAAAATATATATTGTCATAATATATTGAGTAAGAGAGTATATATGTATATACCATGTATATGACAGGATGTTTTTCCTGGGACACCCACAGTTTGTACATATTGTGTTGGACTGTTTTCATGTATGTTGGATGTAGTATTCTTTGATTGTATCAATTTTATTTTGCAGTTTTGTGAAATGTTTTATAATGTCCCTGCCTGGGGACCTGTTAGAAAGCACTTTATTTTTTATATATTAAATATTTATGTGTGTACCTGGTTAGTATGTATAGTACATATACACAGACACCGTATGCAGCGCCCCCTTTGAAGATGACCAGTGGTAATGTGTGTAGCTGTTCATGGCTGCCCCCTCCTGCCTTTTCCTGTTGCTACTGACATGCCACGCGGGCAGCTTCGCTCGCCTCCGGGGGGAGCCGCCTTGTTCCTTCGAGCGCAGTCCTCACCTCTTCTGTATTCACTTGATTTGGAAGAATGGTTAACTCGCCCTTACAGGTGTTTTTGGCTCTTTTATACTGATCTCAAGGAAGCCCTCCCCCTCCAATAGCTGTCACTTTTTCAAAGGGTGGGCAGAATATTACAATAACCCTTATTAACTAGGGTAGTTGTATCTGAGCACTTCCGGTATGTTAGGCTGAACCATATGAAACTGCTGTTTTTATAGGTCAGAAGGAGCTGGGGACAGCAATGTCATAGATAAATACCAGGCATTTTGCTCGATTCCGATAGCTCAGACTTTTTCTCCTCTCGTGTCCCTGTCTAAACAATACTTTTACCTGGTCTTAACTCCATGCTTCATTGAACAAACAAAACACAAAGATGAGTTTAGTGGTCATACCTTGCTCTTCTCTAATTTGTGCAAACCCACATTCTTAGCCTCCCCCTCCTTGGCTCCTTGGGCCCAGAAACAGTGCTGCCTGTCCCCGGTCAACCCTCCTCAGCCTCACTCTGAGCCCAGGCCGTGGGGACTGGTAGGTTCTGGCTAATGAGGCCCTCATCCCATCACCACATTTTCCACTCTCCTTTGCCCTCCACACTGTACCCTTCTTCACAGTTTTTTTTGTTTGTTTTTTTCTTCGCAGTTTTTGACATGTCTGTACACATGATGGGATGGACTAGGGTGGTAATGACCAAAGCGTCCTGGCCTGACAGTGCAGCTAACTCGGTGCTGGTTACCCTAGATGTTCTTAAGCTGTGCTGCTTCCCAAGTGGCCTCTTTAATCAGACACGCTCCCTCTTAACATCTGTAGCTGAATATTACTTAGTTGCTCATTTAACTTGGTAAATTCCCTAGAAGGTAAAAGATCTCTCTGTACCCCTTCTAGTCTATCATCGGCACCCCCTGCAAAAGGAAAACGCCACCACCAACAGGCAAGCACAGTGACAGGAAGTGAACTCCAGGGTGGGTAGCTTTATATTGTTATACCTAAAATGTAAATGTTCAATTCCAAGAAAAGGTGATAGAATTTGTACTTTTAAGTTTACATAAATATAAACAAAAGGGAATGAACTTTAAATAAATGCCAGGGAGTTGGAAGGAAACCTGTCATCCTTTTATAAAAACTGTGCTAGGTGCCTACCTACCATCAGCCCTGAACTGGGGCTGCTTTGTTCACCTATGGAACCATGTGCCAGGTTCAGAAACTAGTTCGCTATTAATTTTGTTTTGGAATTGAGTAGCATGAAGGAGAGAAAATATTTAGGGTACTTCTAACCACTATTTTTGCGCAAATAGTATAAAAGTAAAGTAAAAACGATAGAAATTTCTACAGTATCTGGATTTAGAGCAAAACAACCACCTCTACTAATAGTTGGGAAAAGAAAATTAGGTCACTTTGCCATGTTTAACTTGAAAGGAAGCAAAAGCATCCAACATCAGTACCAATGTATTCAGCTAGGCTCCCTTTATAACCAGTGCCCCTGTACAACCTTCACACTCCCCACAGATAACTGTTTCAGAAATACAGGTGTTTCTCTAGAGAAGGGCCAGCTTTATTTCCTTTTCTAGGATTTCTAGAGGAAGTACTGCTTGCACATGTTGGTTCCTGAAACTCTCTTTAACCAGAAGAGTTTTGGGTCATTCCGACACATGGATAGGCAGTAGCTGTTCAAAGGTCTCCTGGGGGAGCTGAAAACTTGGGAGGAAAACACTGGTTTTCACAGATGCTCCACATAGCTGTCTTTTAAAAGACTCAAAACATTTTTTGGTCCTCTTTGTTATGCTTGGAAACCCCACAGTGTGTCAAAATCTTTGCAAAGAAACCTTTAGATGTGGTTCCTAGGTATATGAATAAGTATCTGTGTAAAACAGTGAGTGTGCAGTGTGTAAATACTTTAAATTATTATGCTAGAAAAATAAAGTTACATACCATGCTGTGGAATGTTTGTTCTGTGATTGTAGTGACACCTGCTGGAAGAGCTGAGAAACACAGCAGAAGACAGGAAGTGAGGGTGTTCATGCAAAATCCTTTATGGTTACTGACAATAAGTCAGTCATACGACCTGCCCACAAACGCACTTATTTTCTAAACTATAGCACTACTGTAGTTTTTTTCCTTTTTAAAAATTTTAAGCATTTGGAAATAAATCAGTATCTGTGAAACTGGTTCAGTGGTGTTATCCCAAAGGTCTGTCTTTGGTCATAGCTTTGGTCCCTTGCAGACATGGGACCTGCACTTGTTCTTGTAAGGCAACATGTCACAACTTACTCCTGGTGGGGAAGATCTTAGGGGGCAGGATTTTCTGGCTTTGGAACTTTCGTATATCCCTGCTGCTTGGGTGTTCTAAAAAGAGGCATCACAAGATTACAAGTAGGTCTTTAAGAAACATGCCAAAGTAGAAAAGCTTGAAAAAGAAGTAAACCAAAAATAATGGCACCAGAAAGCACTGTTACTGCCACAAGGTAGAATGCTACTACATGGAGTACATTTTAATTAGGGGAAACACGTAATCATTCCTTAAATAGAAAGCTTACACCTTGCACTCCGTGTTTGTGCCTAGCAGTTCAGAACAAACAAAAAGGAAATTGTCAGCTGAATGACACGAAGATGACTGATATAGCCACGGAGTACCTAATACACCTGTCTGTACTGAGTGAACACTAAGAAATAATCTACATCACAATGAAATCTATGATTAAAAGGCAAAAATTCGTTAACTCCTCCAGACCTCCAGCTTTTCAAAGATTGAAACTTGAGCAACTGTCCAAAAACCTGAAAGGGGGAGGGGCGCTTATCAGCATTCTGTTGCCTGGAGTCACCTGTAATAACACAGCCTTGGATCCCTCCAACCCTTTCTGAGCAAAGACAACCTTACTACAGCCCCCGCTCCCCCCCTCCCCAATCCTGTTCCCTTAAGTATCTATTTGTATGTGAACCAAGGAACACCACCTCCCCATAGAGCATGTAATGAAAACGTTGAAGAGGAAGCAGTTCCCAGTTACTGCACTCCCTAGCTCACCTTATTGTTTCTGCTTCCCTCCCATTTTCTGAGTGTTGTCCAAACGAACAAGTCACGCTTGCACTGTTATTATGTAGATGGCATTTTCCTCTGAATTTATGGCTCTTCCCCCATGTACTGCTAGTAAGCAAGATGTTTGACACCATAAACTAATAAGAATCGACAGTCGCTTACACCCAACATGTGATGTCTGTGAGGTATGTACTTAGAGAAGGGATGTCTTTATGTCTCCTCCCAGTTGTGCAGACTTACAAGGAAACTGGAGCCTCCCGTGCCCAGGAGGATACACTCACAGATCCTACAGCGATGGGATGTACACCCTTGGCCTGATGAGAATGGTGTCCAAGCCAACTGAAAAAAACAGTCCTGTCACCTAGAATATTAAAGCCAGCCCAAACTCCAGCAGGAAGGCAGCAGGGCAATGCTTTCTGAGAGTTCTTCATGGGTGACAGTTTCATGACCCATTTTTTATTTCAATAATGAAAACTCCAGCTCTAGAAGAAGGAAAAAAAAGTAGGCATTTTGCTACCAAATTGAATATACAAGACCAAACTACACGCGAATTAACCGAGTAGGAATTGCACCTGCCATAAAAGACATTTTAAAGAAGCAGGATTATCTCAATCAAGAATGTAGCACCGCCAAGGGAAATGGCGCTATTGGATGGCGCAAAGGGCTTCCAAAGCTTTCTAACAGGCAGCAGTCACTGAGGGAAGCGCTGAATGGGACAATAAATTTATTTTCTAGCGAGACCTTCTTCTGAGCTGCCATACAGCAATGCCATTAATTCATGGATGGCGGGAGCAGCGAGGACTGTGGGGAGAGCTATTGATTGCCTCGCTCTAAGGACGAGGGAAGGGTTCTCTGGGCTGGAGTCACCACAAGAGTGTTAACATTCCTCCTTGGGAAGGAAAAGGAAAGACTCATAAAATAACTTGAGGTGGCACAAAATATAAGATTTTCAGTATCCTATCAAATTGGAAATTCGGGTGACATTTAGAGGTCGGGAAAGAAGTGAAAGTGCATCCAGGGAGCTGGGTGGAAGGGTGGCAACAGGACAGGAAGAGCTCACAAACCAGGATGACAGATAATGGGGTGGATACTGGGTGCATTTTGGATCACAGGACCATTCTTTTTTTTTTTTAAGATTTTATTGGGGAATTGGGGGAGGGGAACAGTATTGGGGAATCGGGGAAGGGGAACAGATAAGTTGCTGTCCTTTTGTTCTTCAGTCTAGTTGTGGAGGTTGTTGCTCACTGGCCCAAGCTGGCACCATCATTGCGCTCTTCCTGGGTGAGGCAGTCGCTCGCCGGCTCACGGAGGCTCATGGCAGCTCACACGCCAGCTGCCAGCCAGCCCCACTGCAGCCCATGTAGTCGCTGGCGACTCACGGCAGCCGAGCTTCAGGTCAAGCCGCCGTTCACCATCTTAGCTGTAGAGGGCGCAGCGTCACTGGCCCTCATATGTGGGATCCAAACCCGGGGCCCCGGCTGCTCAGAGCTGGCGTCCCAAGTCAACTCCTAACCAATGCGCCACTCGGCCAGCCCCACAGGATCATTTTTAAGGATTCATTTGCGTGTAAATATTTTATATATCCTACCTTAGAGGAGGCAGCATAAAATAGTGGTCAAGATTATTGATTGTGGAATTGTGCGGCCCTGAGTTCACATCCACCCACTTTCCCAGTTGTGCACTCTTAGACATGCCAAGCCACAGCCTCCTCTTTAAAACGGAGACCCTGGGCCGGCCGAGTGGCGCGATGGTTAAGAACTGGCTTGGGATGCCAGAGGGCACCGGTTCGGATCCCACGTATGAGGGCCAGTGACACTGCCCTCCACAGCTAAGATGCTGAACAACAGCTCAACCTGGAGCTGGGCTGCCATGAGTCGCCGGCCACGGCATAGGCTGCAGCCTCTGTGGCAGTGGGTTGCCATGGGTTACCGTGTGTAACCAGCAGCCAGCGTGAGCGGCCAGCAGCCGCAGTGAGCGGCTGTCCAGAAGCCGGCGACTGATCTGCCTCGCCAGAGAAGAGCGCAATGATGGTGCCAACTTGGGCCAGTGAAGCAACGTTCTCCACAACTAGACTGAAGAACAAAACGACAGCAACTTGTCTGTTCCCCTTCCCCCAATTCCCCAGCACTGTTCCCATCCCCCCAATTCCCCAATAAAAATCTTTAAAAAATAAATAAATAAATAAATAAAAATAAAACGGAGACCCTAATAGAACTTCACACCTCCAACATTCACTGTGAGAGTTAAATGTGTTACCACATCTGAAGTTCTTAGTACAGTGCCAAGCACAGACCTAGGGAGAACTGTATGTCCATTTTTGAGAAGTGGCGAACCCTTGAACTATTCCTAGAACTAAATTTGCATTTAAACCCCCATGGACATTCCAGAATTTAGGGTTGGGTCTGTAGGCACCTGAGTTGAGACATCTCCATGAGGATGATAAACTCTGTCCGTGGCTCCTAGGACAATGGGTAAGACCCAGTGCAAAAGCTGTGCATACCAGCTGCCTCCTGCCTGCTTCCGCCCCACAGCCACCCCAGGAATCTCAGCATAAACTCTTTAAGGTCCCTAACAGAGTAATCCTGACTTGTGAGCAACCATTTGCCCCGGACAGAACTTCAGGGATTACAGGTGGCCTGGGGACAGGGCGAACCCTGAAGGAAAGCTACTACGAGTGAAATTATTGCTGGAGATTTCTGATCATGTATTATACATTCCAGTGAACAGGAGTCCCAATGGAGACAGTATCCAGCTTTTTGGGAAAGGACATTATGAAATGTTTTTATAGATTGGATTGCATGTAGAGGGTTTGGAAATATCCTCCAGTGTTCACGTCATAACTTTAACTCATATCCATAGATACCATCTAGTTGCTCAGACTAGGCCAGTTATAGCATCCCTATCCTCTCAGAATTGCTTGTAATACAAAATGGAGAAAGAAAAGAGGAGAGGCCTACTGTGATGGCTGACAGATTTACATTTGCTCAATCAAGCAAAATCTTTCTACTCTGATCTTGGGATTTTTTCAAAAGTAAGAAGTGACAGGAGAGGAGTTGAGAAATTGTCACAGACACTCAACAAGAAGTCAACATGGGGAAAAAGTGAAGCAAAAGAAAAGATGTTTAAAAAGACTGCAAAAATAATAGAAATGGGAAGGAGAAAGAAGTAAAAGGTGAAGGAGGGATGTTTGAGAAAAGTCATATACAGCAAATAAACATGGAAGAGAGATACAAAAATGCAGGCAGTGCTTGGGGGTATTTATGGAGAAAAGCAGTGGCATGGAGGAATCAGATTTCTGCCGTATCAGAGTTCTACAGAGAAACAGAACCAATAGAATACATATGTGTATATTCGGTCTCCATAACCCCATGATCCAAAGCCTACAACAAGACTTGTTACAGGCTGCTGGTTTAAGTCCCAGAGCCTGAAGGCCTGAGAACCAGGAGCTACCTGAGGGCAGGAGAAGATGGACGTGCCAGCTCAAGAAGACAGGGACTTTGCCCTTTCTCACCTTTTGTTCCATTCAGGCCCCCAAAGGATTAGATGATGCTCACCCACATTGGTGAAGGCAGATCCCTTTACTCAGTCTACTGAATCAAAAGCTAACCTGTTCCAGAAACATTCTCACAGACACACCCAGGAATTTTTATCAGCTATCTTTGCATCCCTTAGCCCAGTCAAGCTGACACATAAAATTAACCATCACATTCTCTTTTCATATATTTTCTTTTTGAAAATGTATTATACATCCCTCAGGCATTAAAGGGCTAATAATTGGTCAAGACTATTTTATTTCACCGAGTCCAATTTGAACTATCTCAAACTCAAAGCTGGGAAGGAAAGATTGAAAAATTAGAGTTTAAGGGCCGGCCGAGTGGCGCGATGGTTAAGAGCTGGCTTGGGACGCCAG